ATCTGGGATCTTTTGTGCTTCCATATGAATTTAAAGATGCTTTTTTCTAATTCTGTGAAGTATGTCATGGGGATTTTGATTGGGATTGCAGTGAATCTACATATTGCTTTTGGTACGATGGTCATTTTCACAATATTAATTCTTCAAATCCATGAGCATGGGAGGTCCTACCATCTTATGGGGACTTCCTTAATTTCTTTACGAAGAATGGAGAAAGGAACAACGATACCCCAGGGCAACAGAAAGAAACTAAATGAAGGTATAATTGTGGAAACAAAAAATTAGAAAAAGAGTGCAAACAGCAATCAAACTGATGGCAACCAATGCACATCTTTCAATAATAACTTTAAATATTAATGAAATGAACTACCCAGTCAAAAGACACAGGCTAATGGAATGGATTAAGAAACAAAATCCACCATTTTGTTGTCTGCAAAAACCCCATCTCACCTTCAAGGACAGGCACAAGTTTAAGGTAAAAGAATAGAATAGAATATTCAAGGCAAATGGCATCAAGAAACAAGAAGGGGTTGCAATTCTAATATCTGACAAAATAGGCTTCAGTCTAAAACTAATCAGCAGAGATAAAGAGGGTCACTTAATTCTGATTAAAGGAACAATTAACCAAAAAGATATTACGATAATTTAACATATATGCACCAAACACTGGTGTACCCAAATTCATGAAAACAACACTACAGGACCTTAAACACAGATTAACCCCAACTCAGTAATAGTAGGGGACTTCAATACCCTACTGTCTCCATTAGACAGGTCAGCCAGACAAAGACTAAACAGAAAGACATCTGAATTAAATGACATCATGCATCTAATGGACCTAACAGACATCTACCGAATATTCCACCCAAGCACCAAAGAATATATTTTCTATTTAGCACCCCATGAAACTTTCTCAAAAATTGACCACATACTGTGGTACAAAACAAACTTTAACAAATACAGAAAAACTAAAATAATTTCATGTATTATATCAGACCACAAAGCAATAAAGCTTAAAATCAACACCAGAAGAAGCCCTAGGAACTACATGAACTCATGGAGATTAAACAACACACTCCTGAATGATGAGTGGGTCAAAGGAAAAATTAAGAAAGAAAAGTAATCCTGGAATTAAACGAAAAGGACAATACAACACAACAAAACCTCTGGGACACTTTAAAAGCAGTACTAACAGGGAAGTTTATAGCTCTAAGTGCCTACATTAAAAAAATCAGAAAGCACACAAATAAATGACTTAACATTCTAACTCAAGACAATTGAAAAGCAACAACAAATGAAACCCAAATTCAGCAGACAAGAATAATAAAAATCAGAGCAGAAATTAATGCAATAGAAACAAACACAATACAAAGAATCAATGAGTCTAAGAGTTGCTTCTTTGAAAAGCTAAACAAGACAGACAGACTCTTAGCTCAGTTAACCAATAGAAAGAAAGAACAAACCCAAATCAACAAAATCAGAGATGAAAGGGGAAACATTACAAAAGACACCAAAAAGATCTAGAACATTATAAGGGAATACTTTAAAAACCTATACTCTATTAAACTGGAAAGCCTAAAAGAAATGGATGGGTATCTAAAATTATGGGAACCACTAAAGTTAAACCAAGAAGAGATCAACAGTTTAAACAGACCCATAAAATATAAGGAACTCAAAACAGTAATACAAAACCTCCTGATCAAAACAAAAAAAAAAAAAAAGCCAGGCCGAGATGGATTTAGAGAAAAATTCTACCAGACATTTAAAGAATACCTCTAACTAATACTACTTAAATTCTTCAAAATGATAGAAACAGAGGGCTCCCAAATTTGTTCTATGAAGCCAGCATCACTCTAATACCCAAACCAGGTAAAGATACACCCCAAAATGAAAACTACAGACACATATCCTTAATGAACATAGATGCAAACATTCTCAACAAAATACTTGCAAACCACATACAGATGTATGTCAAAAAGACCATTCACCATGATCAAGTAGGCTTTGTTCCAGAGATGCAGGAATGGTTCAATATACACAAATCAATAAACATCATCAATCATATAAATGGACTCAAAGACAAAAACCACATTGTCATCTCAATAGATGCAGAAAAGTCTTTTGAAAAAATTCAGCATGCATTAATGATAAAAGTTCTAAAGGGACTTGGACTGGAAGGAACATACCTCAACATAATTAAACCTATATACAACAAACTCACATCTATCATCATTCTAAATGGGGGAAAAAAATCTGGAAGCATTGCCATTAAAATCAGGAACCAGACAAGGATGTCCACTATCTCCACTCCTTTTCAATATAGTGTTTGAAACACTTGCTAGAGCAATAAGACAAGAGAAGGAAATTAAAGGAGTACTAATTGGGAAAGAAGAGGCCAAATGTGATACTACACCTAAGAGATCCCAAAAATTCCACCCCAAAACTCCTAGAACTGATCAACACTTTCAGTAAAGTGGCAGGTTACAAAATCAATCTACAAAAATCAGTAGCCTTTCTATATACCAATAACAAGCAATTGGAGAAAGAGTACAGGGAAACTCTCTCATTCATGATAGCTGCAAAAAAATAAAATATCTTGGAATAAAGCTGACCAAAGACATCAACGATCTCTATGACAAAAATTTTAAATGTTTAAAGAAAGAGACTGAGGTAGTTCTGTATTTTTAATGGGTTATAAAAATTAAAAAAGAAAGAATACTCCACAGAAACTGTGCATGGCCCCAAAATAGTTTCTAACTGAATCTTCACAGAAGAGAGAGAAAAAAAAAAAGTCCAACAATTCCTGATCAAACTGTATTCTACACGTCCCTTTGTATCATCCAGGATTGGTACAGGGGCCAAAATAGATGGATGTTCAGGTTTATAAAATGCATAATACCTGCATATAACCTATACACACACCTTCCTGTACTCTTTAAATGATCTCTAGATTATTGTAGTACCTACCATAATACAAATGCTATATTAATTATTATACTGAATAATTTAGAGAAATAATGACAAAAAATAAAGTTTGTGCAAGTTCAGTATAGACACATTTTTACTAGCAAATGTTTTTGATCTACAGTTGGCTGAGAATCTTTGGATGGGGAACTTCAAGAAATGGAGGGCTGACTATTCTTACAATCAGTATTAATTGTTGTATATAAATTAAGGCTCATTAAAGGTGATTCTAATAAAATCTTCCAGCTGGGATTAAACAGCCCATTTTGGCAAAAACAGATCCAATTCATCCTGTCATTTTCTGGGTGAGCTGATTTACCCAAAATCATATACCTAATTAGTGACTTTTTTAGTTTTGAGCACAGGTTGCCTGTATTTGCCCACGCTGGACTCAAATTAACCATCTTCATACCTTGGCCTCCAGAGCATTTGGGATTTCAGGCATGTACCATCTCACCTAGCTTCTCTTTTACTCTTAATATATATTTTCTTCTTACAAAACTTATGAAACATCTCTTGTTGGTTGTTCATTTTTATGTCATTCCAGAGCATTTTTATGCTGATTGGAAAGCATCATCTTTAAAAATAACCTGGTTTTCTGCTATTCATTTTTTTCACTGAATATTATTCCCACACTGAATATTATTAAGCACACTTTACCTTTAAAAGAATTAGATAACTTTTTCTAATACCACACTAGGAATAAATTTCATCCATACCAGGAGAAATATAAGCTAGGAGCAGATCAAAGTTAATGACTTTTTGAGCACTCCAGCTGATGCTGGCAGCTGTCAGTTTAGACCTAACTGCCATGTGTCCTTGACAAGACTACTGCAAAAGCTGTGCATTCATTTACTAGGAATGCCAAAATAAAATGCCACAGATGGGACGCCTAAACAACAGAAATTTGTTTCCCACAATCCTACAAGCTAGAAATCTAAGATGAAGATCTCAGCATGTTTGGGTTTCTTCTGTGCCCTCTTCTCCGTAGCCTGCAGGTGGATCCTTCTTGCTACATCCTCACACATTCTTTCCTCTCTGCATGCTCTTGGTATTTGTCTGTTATCTAATAAGAATACCTTATGTTGACTTAGAGCCCAAACAGCCTGCTTTTTACTTAATCACATCTTTAAACATCCACCTTTCTTTTTTAAAACTATTTTATTATTTTTATGGGTATGAGTGTATTGCCTGCATGTATGTGAGTGCATCGTGTTGTGCAATGCCGCGGAGGTCAGAGGAGGGCTTCAGATTCCCCTGGAACTGGAGTTAAGGATGGTTCGTAGCCAACATGTGGGTGCTAGGAGTTGAACCCAGGTCCTCTGCAAGAGCAGTCAGTGCTCTTAACCACTGAGTCATTTCTCCAGCCCCTAAACATCCATCTTTAAACATGACTACATTCTAAGGTTGAGGTCTATGCATATGAATTGGGAACAGAGGCACAAGCTGGGTCGGAGGAAACGTCCAATTAAAAAAACTGGTTTTCCTTCATCACCTTGGCTCAGTTCTATATCTCTGTAACTTGCTGAAACTACTTCAGGAGCACTGTACTGATAAAAGGTGCAGCTCAAAATCCTCTAAGTGACTTTCAAATACTCTTTATGAGATGTTCCCTCCTTACTTCATTGTGTTAACTCCTGGCCACATCTCAGCATGAGGTTGCAGGTTGCCACTCTACATTCACAAAAGACCCCCATAATTAAAACCATTCAAGAAAATCACTCTTCTAGTACAGAGACAGCACTGCACAAAAGACTGTTCATGAGACTTAGGAAAAACCTTTCCATTCTTTAAAATGCATTATTTGGAAGGGTATACGATACTGAGTTTGAGAAACAGAAGAAATGGCAAGAAACCTGAGATAAGTTTTCCCTTTTCAGACAGTAAGCTATTATAAACTATATGCTTCAATACATCTGAAATTAAATTGGGCTAAAGAAGCTTCAGAGGGTTTTTAAAATCTTAATATAAAGTATAAAGGATAAATATAATTGAGGCACACAGAATACTAACAATGTCACTCCCGATTTTGTTACCTGTTAAGCTCCTCCAGACATAAGCGCAGTGTTTCATAAGTTGTCAGAGCAATTTCACATTTCCTCTGCTTTACACGAATCAGTTCACTGTCTTTTTTGCTACCATGTAACACAGTGACTCTGAAATACCCCCAGGTATCCAATTCATCCTTCCAGTTGTAGAGGACAGAAAGAGGAGCAACTATTAAGAATATCTAAAAACAAGAAAAAAGGAATTAAAAAAAAGTAACTCCAACATGAAATCCAGACAACTGTATTATTCTAATTCTGATTTTGTATGCAACAAATACAACTAACTGATTTGCTACATGTGGTCAAAAAAAAAATACACGCCGGGCGTGGTGGTGCATGCCTGTAGTCCCAGCACTTGGGAGGCAGAGGCAGGCGATCTCTGTGAGTTCACGGCCAGCCTGGTCTACATAGTGAGTTCCAGGACAGCTGGGGCTACAGGGAGACCCTGCTTCAAACAAACAAACTAACAAACAAACCAGCTGCAATGAGAAAAAAAATACACACACATACTATATACATCTATATCTATATCTATCTATCTATCTATCTATCTATCTATCTATCTATCTATCTATCTATCTATCTGTATTCTTTATTAGCTTTCTATTAGGACAAAATAGGCACCCCACTCAAAGAAACTGTGGTAATTTGAATAAGAATGTTGCCCATAGGCTCCAAACAGTTGAGCTCTTTGTCCAGTTGGTAGTGCTGTTTTGGGATGTCTTAGAAGGTGCAGCCATACTGAAGGAAGCACATCACTGGGGGTCGGATTACAGAGTTCTTAAGCCCTGCCAGATCTCCAGTTACTTTCTGTTTCTTGTGCCTGCTTGAAGATGTGAGCACTTAGCTTCTGCTCCTACTTCAGCTACCTCTACCACCATGGCTCCCCGCCATGATGGACTTTTGCCCCTTTGGAACCATAAGCTGAATAAACTCTTCCTTTTATAAGTTACCTTGGTCATGGTGTTTCTATCACAGCAACAGAAAAGTAACCTATACAGTAACTGCTACCAGTAGTGGGGTATTGGCTGTGAAGAACCTGACTGGGTGGTTTTTGGAGAAATGTGAAAGACTTTGGAAGTTTGAGCTAGAAAAGCAATTGATTTCTGTAAGCAGAGCTTAATGGACCTTTCTAGTAGGATCCTGGAAGAAAGTAGTGCTGAGAACATTGTAGTTCCAGAGGGAAATAAGGACTTAAGCAGCAACTGAGATATTTTAGCAAAGAGTCTGGATGCTGTCTGCTACAGCCTAAGTGCTTGCCTGAGGCTAAGTTGAAAAGCAATGGACTAATTTCTTCGGCAGAGGATATTTCAAGAAAGCCAAATGTAGAAATGGTAGTGTGGCTATTAATGGTGAATATTATGTAGATCTACAGTGAAAAAAGAGCAAATGGGGCAGAAAGAAATGCAGAATTTACAGTTTGGATTGAAAAAGAGCACTAGGAAGATCAATGTTGGAGCCAAGGCACATACTGAAGGAAAAGGTCCCTCTGAAAAAGATCAAAGTAATTAAGGAGAGGCCAAGAGATTTGCACTTAAACAATGGAAAGAGTGTCTCCAGGGCAAGACCACATCCAGCTAAACCCTTGAAAGAAAAATACTGAAGCGAAAAGCTTCAAAAGTGGAAGAAGCAGGCTGGAGCCCATCCCACCAAACTTGGCAGTGTTGTTCATCTGGTGCTGGCTTTAGGAGCATGAAAGATACAAGAGTGATGGGGTCATTGGTTCTTCCTCTGTGGTCTGAGAGCCACCAAAGCCAGGCAGCATGCATCAGCAGTGTCCCTGAATACAGAAGGCCCTGATAGGCCATTGTGTGAAGCTGTGAATGTGAAGCCTGGTTGGCATTAGAAACCCCTGACAAGGAGAGCTGCATAGAGAGTGGTACCAATCCAAGAGAGAGATGTTTCACACAGCAAAGTTGGAGGGGCTAAGCCATCTAAGTCCTTTGGAAAGTGGAGCTTTCCAGACTACTGGAATGGTGTTTGGCCTGATGGTTTTCAGGAGCTACTGGACTTGGTGTTTGGCCTGATGGTTTTCAGTCTTGTTTTGGTCCGGTATTTCCTCACTATACATCTATTCCTCCCTTTCAGAATGGGATGTGTGTTTGATTCTCCTTTATGTAATTGGGAGTATGTAATTTGTCTTTTGGTTTTACAGGGGCTTAGAGTTAAGATATTGCCCTAAGTCTCAGAAGAGACTTTAAACTGTGGACTTCTAAATAATATTGAGACTGGTTAAAGAATATGGGGACTTTTAAGTTTGGACTAAGTGCATTTTGAATTTTATATGGTTATGAGTGTATGGAAACCACGGAGTGGAATGTGGTGGTTTGAATGAGAATGTCCTCCATAGGCACCAAGTATTTGAGCATTTTGTCCCCAGTTGCTGCTGTTGTTTTGGAGGTCTCAGAATGTGTGCCATGCTGAAGGAAGCATGTCACTGGGGGCAGGCTTATAGTTTTTAAGCCTTGCCAGATCTCCAGTTGCTCTCTGCTGCCTGTGCCTGCTTGAAGATGTGAGAGCTTAACTTCTGCTCCTACTCCAGCCACCTCTGTCACCATGCCTCCCCGCCATGATGTACTTTGCTCCTTTGGAACTGTAACTTCCCTTGGTACATGGTGTTTCTATCATAGCAACAGAAAAGTTAACTAAAACAGGAATAATTATTTTTCTTTTCCATTCCCAAAGGCATTGAAAGACAGAAAAGTAACACTTCAAGGGAGAAAAGAGTAAAATCAGGATCCCAGTAACAAAATCAAGGGCCAATACATAAAGCAGGCAGGCAGGCATTCTTTTCTATACCCAGTCTTCTTGAGTTCCCTTTCCTCCTCACTTTCCTAGTATATTTTTCTTAAATACTCTCAGCTGAAGGCATGAAAAACTCACTGGAAATTTGAAGCAAGGAGAAAACCTCCATATCTCTTAAGATGCTATCAATAACTTTATCTATATCTATTGCTACATGCTCCACATTCACACTTGTGACCAAAGATGACCTGTTTACTATCTTTTCTAAAGACAACTTTGATTGCATTCAGTGGCTCCCATCTGTCTTTCTTGACAACCTAGAGTCAATGCTATAACACTGCCCCCAATCTTCCCTACATCAATAGCTTCCTCTTTATAATGGACCATATTTATGTACTCATATGTTTCCATGGTTAAACAAACAAGACAAAAGAAAACAAAATAGAATACTTTTCCTCAACTGTAAATCTTTGTCTAGCTACTAGTCTACTACTTTACTCTCTAAAATTTTTAGTGTTTTTATTTTTCCTGATGACCAATTTTCCCAGCTTGTTATATCTAACAGGGTTATTGGTAAATTTTTCTAAAGTTTATACACTTCCCCTACTTGAAAGAGATGAACCAATGAAACACTATTAAATTTCAGGTTCTGTTAAGTATTTCATCTAGGCCATTTACCACCAGTAAGAAACCAAATCTGTGACTAAGCTTTGCAAAGAGAAAGCAGAAAAAGGAAAAATGTTTCTTCTTCCCATTTCAACAAGCACATGAGTACTTTCTCTTACTTAGTTCATTCCAAATACTTTTTGCTCTTTGGAGTTTATCTTATGATTTCATTTTTCTCCAACTTTCAAACAAATACATCAAGGCTCCAAATATAAAGTACAATTATGAGATCTCTCTGAATTCTGTATAGTATAAGAAGCTAATCCTGGGTACAAATTTGATCTGGGCACTCAGTCATTTCCCACATTTCCAGCAGTATTTACCCTACAACTATAGTAGTAAGAATTTAACCTTCAGTTACAATGACAAAAGTGGAGAAGATGTGTACACAAACATATTTACAGTAGCATCATTTGCAATATAACCCCCCTGTATGTAGGCCATGTGGAGTACTGATGCTTAGGTCAGTCAGCTTCTTTGACAGAAGACTGATCCTTCTTTAAGTAAGACTGCTTGCCTCCCTACTTTTCTTTCCTAGTCTTTCCCAGTCTTTCTGTTCAGGTCAGCCTTAATTGTTAACTTGACACAGCCTAGAATCACCTAGAAAAAAGCCTCAATTATGAAATTGTCTTGGCCTAGGGACATGTCTGTGGCAGACTGCCTTCATTATTATTTGATGTAGGAGGGCCCAGTCCACTGTGGGTGGTACCATCTCTAGGCAGGCAGTCTTGAGTTGTATCAGAAAGCTAGCTAAGCATGAGCCTGTGAGCAAACCATAAAGCAGCCTTCCTCCATGATTCCTGCCTCCAGGTTCATGTCCTGACTTCCCTGAATGGTGGAATGTGACCTGAAGCCTAATAAACTCTTTCATCCCCAAGTTGCTTTTGATCAGTGTTTCATCACAGCAACAGAAAGGAAGACTAGGACACTTTATAACTGTTTCAGCTATATAACAAGAGCTAGAAACGCAGTATATAATAAAGAAAATAACTGAAAAGTATTTTTATTCAGTCACCACTGAAATTCTATCTTATGCTGGTATTATGATTGAATTAGTATTACAGATGCACGCTTACATGCCCTGCTTTTTACTTGGGTGCTGGGAACGTAAACTCAGGTCCCCATCATAGCAAGCACTTTACTCACTGAACCATCTCCCTAGGCTCCTCCCCTCTATTATAAATTTTGCACAGAATCTCTAGAGTTTGATCACACAATATAATATTTTTCCATTAATTTACTATGATTTACTTCATAAAGACCAAATTACAATCTAATCTTTAGGAATTTATTCTTGGCATGCACATTTCATGTATTCCTCAAAGATTTACACTTGAAAATTTTTTTAATGTATACGAGATATATCATACTACACCCAGACACACACACAGGCACACACACCCCTACCTCAAACCACCACTCCTTAAGTTATAACATTCAATTAATTTAGAGGGTTTTTTCCAAGTAGTATAAACACTACTCTCAGAATTCTGTTATAATTCTGGCATTAGCAAAATAAATATTAAAGAATTTACTTCTTCTCCATTTTACAAAGTATCTTAAAAATATACTGCTGGAGGTTAGAGATGGCTCAATGGTTAGGAAGAGTTAGTGACTGTTCCAGCAACCATATGATAGCTCCCAACAATCAGTAACTCTAGTTCCAGGGGGAATCCAATGCCCTCTTCTGGTCTCTGAGAGCACCAGGCACACATATGGTGCACATACATACACGCAGGCAAAACACTCATAAACTTAAAAATAAAGACTT